TCATAATGTAATACAAAAAGTGAATGATCCACTTATAAAATTGAACATGCATTATGAACACAGCTCTGGATGAAGAATTTTGCACAGGGCAGAAAGATTGACAGGCTCTAAGTCAGAATGTTAACACAGAGAAACTTTATACAGCACGGCCATGCATTTGTAACTCATTTGCTTCTTTTGGCTTGTCTGTGCTTTCCAAATTTTCTTACAATGAGCCGATATTACTTACAAAGTGAGGGTTTGGGGGTTTATTTTTGCTACAAATTATCACCTAAGCAACTAAGATCATTTCTCAATATGTTCTGAGAACACCAAAAACAATGTATCAATTCCTATATACAAAGATTAGCCCAAGGAAAAAACCGGTTGAGAAGATGAACTTCACTCACACAGAACAAAAGTGGGAAGAGTCGACTTCTAACCACATGGTGGGGGAAGGGCTCCTGAGGTTTCACCACCTTCAATCTCACACATTTCAAACAAGCGGTGGCCTTCCCATGCAAACCCAGCTTCAGAGTCACCCGCCCTTCCCAAAGCCAGCCAGCAGCCTCCCGCGCTTCAACCTCCAACAAAATTGCTTCATACGTGATGATGGGACAACTTCCTTTTCGGCTGAGGTATGGCTAACGGCATAGTGATTTTCTTTCCTTGTCCTGTCGCCCGATTGAAAGCTATGGAGGAATCTCTTGAGCAAGGCACCGTTTAGAACACATAAAGCAACGTTCTTTCCTATTAACCCAGACAATTAGCCAATTTGCTCCATCTTCAACTCCAAGAGCATGCGGACCGAACTGGGGGATAAAACTAAAAAGAACAAAAACAACTAAGAAGGTCGGCCATAGCCGTCTTTCACCTTCAAGGTTAACATCTTCATTCTGTTGCTCAGGCAACAGGAAAGAAAAGCTTATCCCTTCCATCCTGGGTCACAGAAACTGTTACAAAGTGGCTCAACCAAAGAGGAGCGCAGATGCGAGCTAAAACAATGAGTGGAGCCTATGGAAACACTTATCTGGGGTCAGAGAACAGACAGCCACTAGATACAGAGGCCAGAAAATGGTGGCACTCACACCTTTAATCCTAGCATTTCAGAGGTAGAAATCTCTCTGGATCTCTGTGAGTTCAAGGCCACATTGGAAAGAGCCAAGCATGGAGACTCATCATGCCTTTAATCCCAGGGAGTAGTGGTAGAAAGCAGAAAGGTATATAAGGCATGAAGACCAGAAACTAGAAACATTTGACTGGTTAAGCATTTGGCTGGTTAAGCCTTTAGGCTTTTGAGCAACAGCTCAGCTGAGAGCCATTCGGATGAGGATTCAAAGGCTTCCAGTCTGAGGAAACAAGATCAGCTGAGGAACTGGCGAGGTGAGGTAGCTATGGCTTGTTCTGTCTCTCTGATCTTCCAGTGTTCACCCCAATAACTGGCCTCAGGTTTGATTTTATTAATAAGACCTGCTAAGATTCCTGCTACAGGGAACCTCCTCCGGGCCCACTCAGTTTCTTAGTTCCTTTTTCTGGTATCCAATAAAAAACCCTGACAAAAAGCCACCTAAGGGCAAAAGGGTTTATTTTGGCTCAGAGATCAGAGTCACAATCCACTGTGACAGTGGAGTCCCAACAGCAGAGGCTTGAGACAGCCAGTCATATGACACCCACAGTCAAGAAGCAGAGAGCGCTGAATGCTTGTGCTCAGCTCCTCTATATACAGTCCTGGATCTTAGCCCAGGGAATGGCGCCACCCACCGTAGGTGAGTCACCTCAATCAGCATACCCTCTCACAGGCATCTTCAGAAGCCCATCTCCCAGGTGACCTCAGACCTCATCAGTGGATAACTGAGATTAACCACCAGAGCCAAGTATTTGTATAACCTTTATTTCTAACACTAGTCGCTTCCTAGAGGTGTGGGGAAGCTAAAAGTCATCATCCTGAGCGCATACATGTGCTATGATAAATAGTATCAGGCACCTAATAGCATCTTATAATGAGATGACTAGTTAAGGGAGGTACAAACAAATGGTACACCTTTGTTTGAAATGAATTCTCCCCACCCATCCTTGGCCTCTCTTGAGACACTCACTATTCTCTCTGTATGATCCTGGCATTTTACACATCTAGACTTTCATGTACACCAAAATCCATGGTCTCATTAGGATAAAGGTAGGTCCTGATTTAGCAGATTTAGGTGATGCTGAGACTAACTCAATTCTGATCTCTGAGGGCAAAACCCAGGTAGCTGTATGGCTGGTTCCCCAGCAAATCCAATATACAGCGAGATGTGAAAAGGTCACAGAAGGCTGGCCAAATGAGTCAGTGAAGGCACCTGCCACCAAGTCTGATGACCTGAGTTCCCAGGTCACACATGAGAAAAGGCAAGAACTGACTCCCCACAGGTTGTCCTCTGGTCTCCACATGTGCATCACGGCACTGGGTGTGTGTGCCCGTGCCTACGCGAGCATACACACACACACACACACACACACACACACACACACACACACTTCACTAAGTAGTAATTGTTTCAGAATAAGGCAGAAAGCAATCGAGGAAGACACTGGAAGGAAAAAATAAAAAAGAAGGTCACTGGCACTTTCACCTCTGGGCCTCACCAGTTGTTCTCCATCTGGCCCAGCATCACCAGCATGACAATACTATCCCCTGAGGTGTTGTGAAGATTGACAGAGGGGGAAAAAAAGGACACAGGTAAGCCACACAGTGCCCAGCACACTGAGCTCTCCGGCATATTCGCCATAGTTACCCGTTTACCGCTAATACTCCTGTGACTGTTACTGAAGCAGGCTAACACAACAAGAGAAGAAATAAAAGGACAAAGATGTAGACAGAGTTCTGGAGAAAAGGAAGAGATAAGAAAATGTGAGCTGGGGAGGAGGTGCGGGAGTGTGGCCTGAGCAAGTGTGTGGTGGGCGGAGGGAGCTGCGGGGGAGCAGACACTGTACTTGGTAATTACAGTAACAGCTATCATTTACTTGGGCTTTAAGGTCTGAAGGGCCCTAGGTTACCCAGCAGGGATGCTCCAAGCAGAATGTGGGGCTGCTGGTTGTTGCTTCATAGGACGTCACAGGTTGCCTATCTTTTTTTTTTTTTTTTTTTGTCTTTTCCCCTTGAGGCAGAGGAGTGGTGAGGACTGGGTGTGGCCACCCATAGACCACAAGGAACCAGTCCTGGCTTAGGATGGTAAGGCTAGAAGGGAAGCAGCCTAGGAGACAGGAAGAAGAGAAGCGCAGGAACTGTTTACATCCTCAGGAGCAGCGATGTTAGGGTTAACATCCCTGGGAATGTTCCTGTCTAGGGACTAGGCTGGTGTGATGAACCCGGGTTCCTCCTCCTCAGGTTTGTCTTGTCCCACACCCTCCCCCTCTTCTATTCTTGGCCCCTCTTCTCAGAACTGCTGTTAAGAGCCTCTCGACATACATCTCTACACGCCTCTCATCCTTAGTTGCCTTGTGGATGTCACAGAGGCTAAGTGACATTTGACTATTTCACTGAGAGGCTTCAAAGTCACTACCCTCCGCACAGAAGGGAATATGACATACATCCATGAGTAAGCAGGTTTTAAAACAAAAACAACCAGAGGTGCATGGTTTAAGCAATAATTAGAAGGCAGATTGCAGCCCAAAACATCTGAAGACGATTCTAGAGAGCTTAGTTTTGTTCTCTGTCTTCTGAGCGTATGTTTAAACATCATTTTAGTCAAGATCATTTGAGGATAACCTTCCCTATCACAGCTCCAGATAGAAGTACTTCACTTCAGGCCTCCAGGTGACAGCCAGAGTGCTGAGACCAAGTTAATCCATGATCCCTCTGTGAAAATAAGAAGCAGACAGGGCCAGGCCTGGCCACCGAACTCCATAATAGAACTCGGTGGCTCAACATCTCAGGCCAGTGTCCTTAGCCTTCCTTAGAGTGGTACAGCTGAGACCTAGAGCGCCTTCATTCACAGAGACATGAAAAGAAACCGAAAATCTTGTCAAGGAGTGAGATCAGCCAGTAAGGAGTGAGTGCCCCTGTGGCTCTCAATTCTGAGCCTCGACCCCTTTGTCCAGGCACCCCAACAACCTGACCCGCTCTCTCTACAAAATCTGAAAAGTAGCAGTTCAAGATTCCCAGGGATGGCAACACAGTTACTTTCCCCATTTCTACCATCTTCGCTTTTCAGTAAAACACACAAAACCAAAACGTGGCTCTTTTTACATAAAAAATAATAATTTTCCTAGATTCCAAAGGTTCTTTTTACATAAAAACATTTTCCTTAGGTCCCACATTGTTTCCAATAAACAAAGAGCCACAGATGCAGAAGATGAAGTGGTTTCCTGAGATGTTAAATCAATCAAAGAGCCAGAACTCAAAATCAAAAGTCAACGTATCTCTGGCCATAGTTCTAGCACTAGCTAGACATAATGGTTCCTTGTAAAATGTACAAACCAGTGGCGGGTAGGAGAAAACTGACATTAAATCCTGATTTAATCCCAGCTTCTCTATAGGCTCATTTACAAAAGAGAGAGAGAGAGAGAGAGAGAGAGAGAGAGAGAGAGAGAGAGAGAGAGAGAGAGAGAGAGAGAGAGATCGAGATCTTAACTGCAAAGTTATCTGGGTCACGGTCGCCCCCACCACCACATGGGCTCTTAGTCTGATAAACCCAAAGATGGAAAGTAAAGATGGGAAAGGAAAGGTTACTGGTCAGCAATACATTTCCCCTTGGAGAGTTTTCCTAACCCTTAAAAAAACAAAACAACAACAACAAAAAAAAAAAACTAATGCATTGTTCTGCAAATGATATAACCCTATTTAGAGAAGGGGGGAGGGGGGAAACATACTATTATTTTGTCAAAGTTGGTTAGCATGGCAGCCTGAACCCTTGACTCTGCATGGCCTTTGGCTTATACATTTAAGCACACCTCCATGTTGTATACAGTTGCTTGGTATTTGTTACCCACTACCTAATAGTGGAATCAAAGCCTCCCAATTAAGTGGAGAGTGTTCTCACCTGTGAACGCATTTGTGGCCTGAAAACCAGCTTCCGGCATACTGCTCCCCAGACAAGCCTGTGTTTCAATTCTTAACTTGTCCGGTTGTGAAGAAACTGCCCGGGCGAGGCCTCAGGTCACTTCCATCTTAGCCTGTCCAAGTCCATCACTCTGCTGGTCCAACCTTTGGGAGCATCTGATGCCCACTGGCTGTGCTCCCACACCCTGTGAGCAGGAACTACCTGGACGGCACACAGTCCAACAGCATGTGGGACACACAGTCACATCAGCCGTCCAGCCAGAGAGTTGAAGCCATGGTGAGGTCTGGAATGAAGGCGCTGTCCTGCTGAAACCTGCTCTCCCACCTCAAAATGAAGGGCTTCTCGGCCTCGCAGCAGCCAGCATCTTGCACAGAGCGGGCCGTCTCTGCCTCACCAGGGGCTCTCAGGCTGTTCTCATCAGCTGCTCTCTGTGCTTTGCTTCTGTTCTTGCTGCAATTACAAAGAAAGAAGTCACTTTTCTGAAGGACCTTGGTAACCAGTAAGATCAATAGACCTGCTGAGCCTGGTGCATGTACTTATCATCCCAGACTTGGGAAGCTGAGGCAGGTCACTGAGACTCGTGGGAGCCAGACTCTGCATCGAGAGATCTTGCCTCTCAAAACCAACACAGCAGCAGAGCAATAAGCCTACAAAACTAGGAATTAAAAAGCAGCTCAGCCATGACCATGACCCTTCTGTGAACACTGGGGTCAGGGGTGAGGGGGACCCCCACTTTCAACCCTCAAATACCACATTATCCATTTTCCAAGTCACTTTAATAACAGATTTAAGCCCACAATCTCCAAACACCTTTCCTTGGGCTACTTAGAATTCACACACACTCTTAAGGAACTGATTTCCAAAAGTTGAAACCCGAGGTCTTAGAAGTGGTCTTTAGTTCATGTCAACTGCCATCAGTACTCAAAGAATGGGGACTTAAGATCTGGAAGAAGCAATTTTTAACAGTGACTCTTAGAGGATGACCAAGTGGAGCTTATCCAAGGGATACAAGATGATTCAACATATCTCAAAACACATGACACATTCCATCAACAGAATGAGGACACATCCAAACAACCACCTACATAGAAGCAGAAAAAGGCATTTGATAAACTTCACCATCCCCCCAGGAGAAAAGCCCTCAGCAGTAGGTACAGAAAGAACACACCTCAGCACAGAAAGGCGACACAGGGCTGTAGCCAATACCATTCCAATGGGAAAATCTGAAAAGTCTTCCTCTAAGACCAGGGACAGGCAAGCACATCTACCAACACCACTCTCACTCAACACAGCAGCAGAAGTCCTAGCTGCAGAAAAAAGACAAGAAACAGAAAGCATCCAATTCAGAAATGAAGCCAAACTGTCCTTGCTGGCAGACAACTGGGTTTTTATAAGCAAAACAAAAAACAAAAAACAAACAAAAAAAAAAAAAAAAAAAAAAAAAAAACATAAATATTTTACTAAAGATTGCAAAAATAAGAACAATTTTTATACATCAGTGCAAACTCACTGAGAAAGAAATAATATTTTTAATATACCAATTCACAGTGCCTATAAGAAGCTGGGTAGTGGTGGCACACGCCTTTAATCCCATCACTTGGGAGGCAGAGGTAGGTGGATCTCTGTGAGTTCAAGGCCAGCCTGGTCTACAAAGCAAGTTCCAGTTCAGCTAGGGCTACACAGAAAAACCTTGTCTCAAAAAATAAAAAGAGAAGAAAGCAAGAAAGCAAGAAAGCAAGAAAGCAAGAAAGGAAGGAAGAAAGAAAGAAAGAAAGAAAGAAAGAAAGAAAGAAAGAAAGAAAGAAAGAAAGAAAGAAAGAAAGAAAGAAAGAAAGGAAACTATGCCTATAAGGAGGAGGAGGAAGAATAGAAAGAATGAGAGGGAAAGAGAGAGAGAGAGAGGAAGGAAGGAAGGAAGGAAGGAAGGAAGGAAGGAAGGAAGGAAGGAAGGAAGGAAGAATATCTAATGTTGGGAACAGAATAATCCTTTTGTCCACTGTGAAGATTCATCACTCAGATTAGTTTAATAAAAAGCTGATTGGCCAGTAGCCAGGCAGGACAACCAAACAAGGAGAGTGATGGGAAGAAGGGCAGAGTCAGAGGAGACACCAGACGAGCCAGCTGCCAAGGAAGTAGGACATGTAGAAAATGAGGTAACAAGCCATGAGCCATGTGGCAAAGCATAGATAAGAAATATGGGTTAATTTAAATGTAAGAATTAGGTAGTAACAAGTCTGAGCTATCGGCTGAACATTTATAATTTATATGAAGTCTATGAGTCAGTTATTTGGGAAGCAGCTGTTGGTTATTTGGGAGCAGGTGGTTGGGACAGAAAAATCTCCACCTACAAATGGCATCCATTACCCCGTGTAAATCCACATAAGACCTAAAGCTTATAAAAAGGTTCTAGACACACAGAAACGGAGCCAAGAGCAGCTTTCTAGTCTCGTGTCTCTCATGCCAGCTGCAGTACAGAGATGTGTCCCCTTGAAGCTGCCAGCATGCCACGAGCTCTGCCTGGTGGGTTCCCTCAGTTTCTCATGCTGGCCATGAGCTCTGCATGGTGGGTTCCCGCAGTTTCTCATGCTGGCCATGAGCTCTGCATGGTGGGTTCATGCAGTCTCTCATACTGGTTGCAGTACAGAAAAGTGTCTCCTGATAGCAGCCCTCAACTGCCATGCACTACTGCCATGTGCTAAGCTGAGCAATGCAGGCGGCTGACATAGTTTAAGATTTGTCTCTGCAATCAAAAAACAATATAGATACTTAGTAAAGACAGATTGAGACCAGAAACACCTCTAAAAGGGTTACAGTGTGTTTAAAAATATACGTAGGCTTGGGAGAGAAAAGAAAAAGGACAGAGAAAGTCCTTAAAAAAATAAATAAAAAAATATATAATAAGCCACAGAAAGATGGGAAATACACAGAAAGTCTAGATCCTGTATGTTATTGTGTTGTCTTTACATTTTTTTTTTTTTGGCTGCTAAGAGACACTGGCTTATAAAAACTGCTAGATTCAACTAACCTATATTTTCAAAATTTAAGTCAACAGGTGTGTTGCTTTGGAAGAGAGGTTATGCTTTTATTTCCACAGAAAATGGAAAGCTGTGGATTCATTCTGGGTTAAACAAAATCAGGTTTGATTGAGGAAGACTCCCTGAAAATTCTGACTGCAAAGATAAAGAAATATGATTTATATGAACAAGACACATGATATATATTTTACCTGCTCAAACATGTAACAAAAAATCATCTTTGGCTGACTTGTGTACAATGCACAGTCTATACTTGTATTAATGCAGATATGTATGTTACCTTTAAAATTTTATGTATTTTTAGAGCAAGGGGACCAGACACCAGTGAAAATGGATGGACCAGGTGATCAACATCCAGGACAGCTTCAAGGCTGTTGACTGAGATGATCCAGCCTCACAAACTATTCCATCCAAGACTTAACCATTAGCCTAAATTTTCTCAGGTCCAAAGATTACCAGCGCTCCAAATAACAGGAAGTAATCTAGAAAACTATGCTCATATTTCAAAAAAAATGGATTATGGATGTTTGTCTTTGTTTAAAGGGGTTGGTTACAAAGTATTATTGGTCATAATAAAAATTTTAAAAAATTAAAAAAACTAACCAAAGCAGTTAAATTCAAAGATCTCTTTCTAAAGGAAAAAGGGGAGATATGATATAGAAATTATAGGATTAAAAGGTAGTTTAATCTACTTTAATGCAAAAAAAAAACCAACTATTAATCTCAAAATCTTTTATATTGGTATGTATTCTGGTATATTGATACAAATTTAAAGTTATTTCTGTTATACTATATACATGTTTCTACTCTTGCTTGGAGTATTGTGCTCATGCAGCTCACTTAAAAATATAATGTATAAACTGGGCAATGGTGGCGCAGGCCTTTAATCCCAGCACTTGGGAGGCAGAG